ATTTGTCGTTGGTAAACACTCTTCTGATAGCTTGCTTCGTTTAGCAGCGTCTGGTCGTCTTTCCTTAAACTATGGGACCAAAATGTACAACGTAGCAAATAAAGAAATATAGTACAATGAAAATTTCTGTTCCTTGCGAAACTTCGTCGTTCTTTTCCAGCCGTCCTGGAAAAGAGGAAAAATAAAACGTGTGAGTGCATGTCAAAAATACACTCGTACTTGCGTAAGGACACAAGATGAGTGGAAAAAAAAATAAACTGATACACTTACAAACAGCGTAAAAGCGATCGGAAAAAAGGTTTTCTTTTGGGTTTTTTTTCAATATATAAATATATATATATACGCTCAAAAAAAATGTTTTTTTTGTTTGCTTTTTAAATAAATAAAAAAATGAGCATATGAAAAAAAATTTATAATAAACTTTGAAAGGGTAATTCAAGATAAAGCTTATGTCCTACATGCAATATTCGTTAAGATGTTCTGGAAATCTTACTCGTCTTCCAGAACGCGTTGTTTTAGGTTTTTCTATCGACGTTGACGAAGTATCAAGTTGTGTGTCGGTTGTCGTGTAGGGTAATACGAGAGTAGTAGCTGTGTCGTTTGCTTGTACAGAAGGAAAATCGACGTAGCTAGGGTTTCCTTCTAGGTACGCAGCTTTGAGTCGATCGATATTGATGCTATCTTTCGTACCGTTCTTATCAACTACATAGTACTTAGGTTCGCGTTGAAGAACTTTGAAGGGTCCTTCGTATGCTGATTCGAGGGGTCGTCGATGTGAGTCTCGACGAACGAAGACGTGTGTACTATGTCGTAATTCGGGTTGAACGAAAACATCAGTTGATTGAGGTCGAGTGTGAGCAGGTTTAACTGAACGCATAGCGTTTGTAAGCCTACTCGTGTAAGAGTTTAGATCCATGTTCAATGAAGAAGCTGAAGGATCCACGAATTCTCCTGGGAGTCGGAGTGTCGTTCCGTAAACGAGTTCAGATGCCGTGTATCCAATGTCAGCTTTCACTGCATTGCGGATACCTAGCAAGACGAGTGGAAGAGCCTCTGTCCACTGTGAAACGTTTGAAGCTGATAATGAAGCTTTTAGTTGTCGATGAAAACGTTCTACCAACCCGTTTGCTTGTGGGTGGTAGGCGGTCGTTCGGAAGCGCGTGATTCCTAATTGTGTGGTCAGACAACGGAAAAGTCCAGATTCGAACTGGCGTCCGCGGTCTGTAGTGATGGTTGAAGGGCAGCCGAAATTTGCTACCCATCGTTCGACGAAAGTGCGAGCCACTGTTTCAGCAGTAATGTCCTTAATCGGTACTGCTTCTGGCCATCGAGTAAAACGGTCTACGCATGTTAGGAGATATGAGTATCCGTTCGAGTCGGGTTAGGGTCCTACCAAATCTAGATGAACATGGTCGAAACGAGCGTCAGGGGTTTTGAAAGAGCCTAAGGGACATTTGTTGTGTCTGATCACCTTAGATTTCTGGCAGCTTACACAGGAGCGTGCCCACTCCCTCACGTCTTTATTCATACCAGGCCAACAAAAGCGTTCGGCTATAAGTTCGATTGTTGCACGAGCACCTGGATGAGAAAGATTGTGCAACGTATTGAAGACGTTGCGGCGATAATGTTTTGGTACAATTGAACGATCCCTACCTGTAGATGTGTCACAGAGTAAGGTTTCCTTACCTGTTCCCATCTGCCTAATACTTAGTTTAAGAGTTGTCGAGGATAACTCATGCTGAAGATCGATGTCTTCTTTTTGAAGCTGAGCGAGTTTAAGAAGGTCGATTCCTTGGAAACTGTTCAAGGAGCTAATTCGAGACAAGGCGTCTGCGACTACATTGTTTGCTCCAGAAATATGTTGTATGTCTGAAGTAAACTGCGAAATGTAGTCGAGTTGTCGAGACTCTCGCGGTGAGTACTTGTCTGAAGATGAATTTAAAGAGAAGGTAAGAGGTTTGTGATCGGTAAAAAGTGTGAATTCTCTTCCTTCGATGGAATGTTGAAAATGCCGTACAGCACAATACATAGCTAGGAGTTCCCTACCGAACGTGCTGTACCTAGATTCCGCGTCTAGCAACCGTCTCGAGAAAAATCATAAAGGTTGCCAAGAGTTGTTAACCCATTGTTGTAAGACTGTTCCGATTGCTGAGTCGGATGCGTCTACGGCGATACTAATGGGCGCTTGACTGTCCTGGTGAGCAAGCAAGGTTGCTTTAGCGATGTGTTCCTTAACTGTGGAAAATGCTTCACGGGCTATGTCGTCTAAACTAATTGATTTCGCATTTCCACGAAGCTGATCGGTTAACGGTTTCATTAGGGATGCGCATTTAGGTATGAACCGTCTATAGAAACTTACGAGTCCGTTAAAAGTTCGTAAGTGCTTGATCGTGGTCGGTTCTGGGTAATCCAGAATGGCCGCCACTTTGCTCCTAAGGGGTCGGATGCCTTGGGCATCAATGGTGTGTCCTAAGAAGTCTAAGCAGTTAGTTCCGATTTGGCATTTCTGAATGTTGACAGTAATGCCATGCCTTTGAAGTCGATCGAAAACAATGTCCAGATGCTTGAGATGCGATTCTCTGTCCGGACTTGCTATTAGACAGTCATCAACATACGCATGTACGAAGTTGAGACCTCGGAAGACGTCGTCTATAAACCTTTGGAAGGTTTGAGCCGCGTTTCTTAAACCAAAAGGCATTCGTAGAAATTCGTAAAGACCGAAGGGAGTGATGATGGCGGTTTTAGGAATGTCGTCAGTTGCCATCGGGATTTGGTTATAAGCTTTAACCAAGTCGATTTTCGAAAAGACAGTTGTACCTTTCAAGGTAGCTGTCAAATCGTGAATATGAGGCAGCGGGTAACGATCGGGAATGGTTTTAGCATTCAGGCGCCGATAATCACCAGTTGGCCGCCAATCATTGCTGTCCTTTTTAGGGACCATGTGCAATGGGGATGCCCATGGACTATTCGATGGTCGAATTATTCCTAGGTCCATCATGTGGTTGAATTCGTTTTTAGCTAACCTAAGTTTTTCGGGAGCGAGTCTTCGGGCTTTCGAAAATACAGGTGGTCCTGTAGTCGAGATGTGATGTGTAACATTGCTGGTTACACAAGGTAATTTCGATTGCGATTGGTATATCCCGGGGTATTTGTCGAGTACTGCTTGGTACAAGGGGTCTATGGCGTGCTTAATCGTGACTGGGGATAACCTGCAACCAGAACAAGGAGTTACGCAAACGGACAACTTAGTGTTTCCGTCTATTAACCTTCGTGAGCGTGTGTCGATGAGTAGATTGTGGTGTTGTAACAGGTCAATACCAATGATTGGCATAGAGACATCTGCAACCACGAAAATCCAGTGTGTGGGTTTACGTAAACCCACGTTAAGGTAGACGTACCTTTTACCGTAAGTAGCGATCGGCTTTCCGTTTGCCGCCTGTAAACTTAAAACAGACTCGCGAAGTCTGTCGTCGAGATTTGCTGGAAGAACGCTAACTTCTGCGCCAGTGTCGACGAGGTAGCGAACTTTCGTAGTCACATCCGTGACATATAAGAGGCGGCTGTGTTCGCCGGCTACGGTTGCCGTTAACGCGTGCCGGCTGGGAAGTTTGCCGAACTGTTTTTCGTGTCACTCGATTTTGGGGTCGGATAATTACAAGGTTTCCTGCAGTTTCTGGAAAACTTACCGTACTGGTTATGATACCAGCACCAGTCGGGATTGTCTGTCTCTCGTGGTCGAGAGCCAGATCGCTTACGTGAGGCGCTTCTACGCGGGGTTTTTGACAGACTACGGTCATTGCGAACTCTAAGATATCGTGTAAGCGTGTGACATAGTTCGGCCATGTCAGTCGAAGTCGATTGGGGTTTTTCTTTGATGGAAAAAACCTCGGCCTTAGAAGATCTGGTGATTTCCAAGATTCGATCGGCAGATGCAGCTAGTTCATCAATGGCATTGTTTTGAAATGAAACAAGCACTGCCTGCACCTGTTGAGGGAGTTTAGACAAGAAAAGTTGTCTAAATAGGCCATCATCGAAAGTTCGTTGGCCGATGACTTCTCTCATTCTAAGCAACATGTCCGTCGCAGAACCATGTTGCAAGTCGATATTGTTAAGGAGTTGGTCTAACCGTTGTCGATCAGTTAGGTCTCCTCGTTTTAAAATCGATAGCTTAAGCGATTCGTAAGGTTCGGAAACATCACTAATAAACATACTAGGTGTTACGTACCTGTTAAACTCGCGCGGTAACGCCTTAACTACCGCGAGGAAACGTGTGCGCGAGTCCGTGATTCCGTGCATGCAAAAATCGGCTTCTGCATAGCAGAACCAGGACTCGATATTGTCGGGCCAAAATGGCGTTAACTGAATCGAAATAAGGGGAATAGACTTTAACTTAAAGACCTTGGGTGAGTGTTCCGTCATAGTAATATAGCTAACGAAGATGTCTAATTAAAATATATCCGGAAAAAAAAATTCGCGAAAAAAGTATATCACAATATATAAAATTCAAATAAAGAATAACAATGAATAATAATATTCCAAAATGGAACTGACTCACAGTATATTGACTTGATGTACCAGATCACGTCGGTCTCACCAATGATGATGCAACGGATATTCTAGTTTTACAACTAGATACCAGTAGCACCTTCTAAATTCGGTTGTTCCCAGTCAGATAGAAATCAGAAGTCGGACGAGAATAGGCAGGAAAGATATATTTGATTCGTTACCAATATATCGAGGACCTTTTCTATGAGCTGGCTAATGAAACGTAGGAGCTGTGTCCCACGCAGTATTGAAACGTGATCTGGTGCGGATGCATGACCGAAAGCCTTCAGCTAAACAAGTCCACTTAAACAACGTGGTCAGCATCCAATGTCGAACACTTAATGAGCTATTGATTTTGGGGAATTATTTACAGCTACAAAACCATTGATATTTAGAATTTGCATCATGGACTTTCCAACAATATCCTCCCCCACGAAATAATGTTGGGTCCTTACGTCGCAATGTTTTAGCCAATATGACGTTCCCAATTTGCATTATCTTCTCAAATCTTACGCATCGACTACTGTATGTGAGTATTTGGGGATAAACACTGATATATAATTTGAGGTATTCCATCATGTGACTTTGACTTGAATAAAAATCATGATACATATTCTTTTTGTTATTCATATTAGAATACACAGATGGATATGCATTGATATATGTAATTAACACATGTGATTCAATTAGGCTTGATTTACCTGCGAAACAATCGAATAGAAAACATTCATCTGCCTCATATTCATTAGGATAATCTTGGACTTGATTTGGATTCTCTATCTGTGCAAACTTCACTTCTGGACAAGCTGGTTCTCTGATTATTTCGGTAAATTTTGCTATCCCCTCTGATTCATTATACCCCTGACTAGGGATTCTATTCAACATGCATTGTTCGTGAGAGTATCCAACATATGACACAATAACATCAGAAATATGACTACAATTCAACTCATAAGAAACATATTTGTCACATTCATGAGGAATATCGTTAGACATAAATTCATTGTGAGGACCACTGACACTTGATATGATACCAGAATTCGATTCTTCTGAAATATTTTCCTCAAATTGATTAAGAGTTCCATTAGGTAATGGATCATCAGGGAATTCAACACCTACAATGATTGAATTTGGTTTTTGATCATGATTTGACTCATTTAACATTCTATTTTCAGAGTTGTAAGAAATTCCATCAGAAGTATGTGAATTATTACGACAAACCATATCTGGTTCAATATCATGAGAAATCCGATAAGTTTGTTGGTTAAAAATTTTTGTCTCACAATGATTCTGAGTTTCATTTAACTCCGGACTGCTATGTGACGTTATACCACTTCTAAATAAAGAAAACTAATCATTAGAAGCATCCATCTTAGCATTACTTTCAGCGAAATGAACCATGGTATTACAAACTGACAGAATGTGTCCAGTTATACCACATTTAAAGCATTTAGAATTACGAAATATACATGAATTACATGGGTGAAACTTGCCGCAGAACATGCATTTACTAAACTCGTGCTCATCATCATGGACTGTTTCACAACTCAATGAAGTATTATCTGAATAACTTTCATTACGCATCGAACTACGACGACTATTTGAGTAAGTGGAATTCCTGATGTTCTGACGGGTCATTTTATCGGATTTTCCTTTCTTACCGCATTCGGAATTTGTATAATTTACATGATCCAACAGCAGTTGCTTGAGAGTTGCATAGGGGAGTGAAATCGGTTTGTCTGGAAGTGCCAAAATCTTTATAAGGCTGTATGCTTCTTTCCCGATGAATGTAAGGAAATGGGCCACAATATTAAAATCCTCATCATCGATGATGAGGAAGGAAGATCTTCCTTGGTCATCGCCCAGATTTCGAACCTTTCCATGTACTCCTCAAAAGCGTTAAAACCTGAATTTATATCCAACAGTTCCATTACAGGCTCAATCGCGACGCCAATATGATAATCAGGAGTATTTGAATTGTAGTATGAACTAGTAATCCCCGGAATAACGCAATGTAGTCAAGAAGTATTAGATGAGCCCAACGAATGCATTGTATTTGGAATTCAAAATTACAACAGTCATCAATACGAAGAAGTCATTGATTTATTTAAACACCACAGTGCGTGAGTTTGTTATCCCGTGCCCAAAAAAGTCAGCTTCTGCGTAGCAGAACCAGGCTTCCATATTGTCCGACCAAAAAGGCGTTAACTGAATCCAGGGTGGGGGAATAGTCTTTAACTTAAATAATTTTGGTGTCTGTTCCGAATAGTATTATAAAGGACGAAAAATATATAATTAAAGTATATCCGAAAGATCTTCCAAGCAGGTCTCAAAATTGTCGTTACGATAAAATAATATCACTAAAGATTTATCATAAATCATTCATAATTACGATGGTGTGTATTTCGTTACTTGAAGGATGGGTGTTATCGGAAAGAGTGTGGCTAAACCAAAATCAAACCCAAAACTGTCTTGATTTGACCGCTTTCACTAAACCTTACAAATTGTCGAGGTGACGCACCAATCGTTGTAAGACAGTTTGACCTTCAAGAGCTCAGTAACCTCTGTCAGCAGACGACACCGCTGGGTCGTTGCCTCACATCAACCGCCAAATGAATCTAGCGTATCTTGATGGTTAGTTCTCCTGAACTTACGTTTTTAACTGTTGATGTCAAAACTAGTCTATATAGGTTCTCAAAACAAACTAAAGCCAGTATTTGTATCGAAATTTTCTTAAATTATAGGGGTTTTAAATACACTTCAGTAATAAGGATAGGAAGTCTATTGACCTATATTAATCCCTGTAGTTTGTTAAACTGTGGATGTTCGATCTCGTTTTGAATATATCAACAGAAGGTGCTGATATTACGTGTTCTGGTACAGAATTCCAGTAATTCACTACTCCGTGTGAGAAACGAAACTCCAGACATAGACAATTTGATCTCGGTCTTTGAACTTTCTTCGAATGTCCTATCAGATCATTAGTCCTATATGGAAAGAAAAGATAAGATGTATTAATACCTAAATTATCGTTCAGGGTACGATAACCCAATATTATACCACACTGTAATCTATGGTATGATAACGGGAATAAGTTGGGTTTCAATCCGTCTTCAGTTTCAGTTTGGAAAGGACAGGAGGCTTGATGGCCTGTGTTAGTCCTGGCAATGATAAGATAGGTCAGATAGACTTTTTACTATTTTAGTCATTTGGCGCTGAACTTGTTCTAACAAATTCGCCTCATATTTGAAACAAGGACTCGCTGCTTGAATCCCATATTCCAAATGTGGTCTCACGAAAGTCGGGTATAAAAATCTAAACATTTCCTCATCTGAATACTGGAAAGACCTGCGAATAGACCATAACACCTATAGCCTTTTGCAGCAGCAGCAGCAGCCTTACGGTGACTGGTGGTTTTGAGATCACTGCTTAGTATGACTCCTAAATCTTTATAGTTTCTTACCTTGGGTGACACGAATCCAATTCAACTAAGTCATAATTCTAATTCCTCAAGCCTCCAAATGCCCTGGTACGGCCGAGAGTGGGGAGAGTCCACTTTCCCTCTCGAAATGCTCTCACATGGCCACGCGAATATATAGCCTCTGACAGGGAAGTCCTACTCACTGCCTTCTCGTGGCGGGCGTGTTGTTTACGAAAGTGAGAGGACGAAAAGCGAATGTCCGGCGCTTTATCCGGGTTTGTGGACACGGCAAGTCCACCTAGGGGAGTTGGAAAACCCTGATTCCAAACGAATGGTGTACATGAGCTCCAGTATCCTAAGGAAACAAATGGCGTATGAACCTGCTGTTGGTCACCGGCTACCATGGGACTGCATTTCCTTACGATGCTCCACTGCCTTGTGGACCAGACCTTAGGGTCAAAGGCTCTGAGTGTAGACCCTAAGAAAACCACCTGCTTCCGTTTGGGCACCTAGGCGGTATCAGTGCCCTCACACAAATCGAATGAGATTTGTACGGCGCATATGTATCTGGTGCTTCCTTGTACCAATATTTGTGTTTAAATAAATGAATAATAAAAATACCATGTATGGTATAAACGAAGATGTAACTGGACTAAACTTGCCTTTAAATATAGACTATGTTTCTTCAACTGATGAGCTAGTATCTACTGACCAATCTATCATAACAGCACACTCCTGAATGGCTTATATATTAGGCTCTTCATATATTTAGGCGAGGCTTAACCTGACCTTATGTCACTAGCTCTACACGTCAATGACAAAACAAATAATACTATTACTTCCTTAGGTGAAACCAACGATAAATTTTTAGTAGCCCAAATAAATTGTCCACTCAAAGTTCGGGTCAGTTTAGCAAACAAGTTGGCTGTTTAAATCTAGTCATTTGACTTCGGTCGTCTTGTTAACATTCATATACGTCACCTCAACGTTAGAGGAAATAGGCTAATAAAAGTGACTAAAACAGATTCACATTTGTGTAGCGAAGACAGAAGGCCTATGGTCTATGTTATTCCTTTTCTAACATGATTCTATGAGTGTCCAGTCTTTTAAATGAGACAATTAAAGATGCAGACACGACTGATACGGGCTCCCAGGAGTCGATTACTTGGTAAAAAGATCCTCATGCCATGAATATTTTGATCGTTTTTGGCTTTTCTACTTGTCTGCTATTTCCTCTGAGATGCCCGTTCTGTTAGGAAGAAGAAAGTATATATTTGGTCCAAAACCATTTCTTAGTATTCTACACATCAAAATTAGATCGCCTCTTCATCTGCGATAGGACAGAGTAAAGAGGTCTAGCTTTTCAAGCCGCTCTTTGCATCATAAACCTCGGAGCTCTGAAATTGCACGGGTAGCTGCCCTTTGTATTTTTTCCAGGATATTAAACAGGGGCTTGCAGCCTGAACTCAGTTCTCAATCTTAGTTCTCACTAAGGTTGTGTATACTGTAGAAAACATGGTAGTATCTTAGTTGGTGAATGTCCATCTTAAAGCATATGAGCAGTGGTCTTAAGATCATGACTCACTGTCACCCCAAGATCCTTGGGAGACTAGACCGCGGGTACAGGCACTTCCCCCATGTTGTACCTATCTTTTTTTGTATTCCTAGAGTGCATGTAGACACTGCCGCGTTGATAGGCATCAACCACTTTTCAGACCAGTTAATCACAACGTTTAAGTCTGCCTGAAATGCACATGCACCTGCGTCTCCCGTTATTTCTCACCAGATTTTACATCGTCAGCGTATAATAACATTGGAGACTCTACTATACTTGGGAGATCATTTACATACAGTATAAAAAGACTCAGGACAGAATCTTGCTGTACTCCACTCAGTACTGGTCTCCAGGTGCAGCACTTCGAATTTATTCTTACTTTATGTTTACTACCTACTAGGAAATCCTTAGGCCATTTTAAGAGAGGTCCGGCAATACCATGATTTTCTAGCTTCAAGAGTAGTCTGTTTGTTGGCATCTTGTTTCAAATGCTTTGCTGAAGTCTATGCAGGCCACACCCACTGATTTTCCGTTGTCTAAAACTTTTGTGAGGTTAGATGCAGGGTATTAGGGAATGATGGTAAATTATTATTATAAATGGTAAACTATACACACTTCAACGCTACAATCTGAACAGCACAGCTCAATCCTGTGGCGCAACCACACAGGTACCAAGCACCCTGATGGACCATTCGCACTATTCATATACACATTCACATCACATGTATAATTATTTCGATCAGTGATTGCACTTGAAAACCATTGTCTGGTGTCGGAATAGCAATAGAAGACCACCAAGATCATTTTTATAGCATTTGCGAAATGTTCATGTTTTCGACTTTGCAGATCCTGAGTTAGGGGTAGTACCCCTATATAACATGGCGAGTAAGAGCAGGTGTAAATAGTAAAATTTTAATTTCAATCTACATGTACATGTTATACATCATTGAATAGCACTTCATTAGATAAGTAACAAAAAGGAGACCGCATTGAAAAATATTAATCCATTCAAAAGTTATGAACAATGAAATAATAGTTTGAAGACTTATTTCTGACAAGTGATTCAGATGCCTCTTAAAATATTTTCATATTCCATGGTTGATGACAGTTAAACATTGTAGTTTGATAATATACCCTTGTGGGTCAGGGTAATTTTACATTACTTTTCAGGAGAACCAGACACCATCCACACTTTCATATGACAATGCAAACAGTACAGTTTAATCTCGTTTAACAAGAGAGTCAGAC